ACCCATACTCGCTGGTTCCTGCCTGGCAGGGGGTAATCCCCACTGCCCCCCACTGCCCTGTGCTGCATGCAGGGCTATTCCATGAGCCCCGCAAAGCCCCAAGGCCACTGCAGGAGCTGGTGAGGGGTTTTTTTTCTTAAAGGGCTGGGGCAGAGCAGCCATGGGGGGGAAGCTGAGGGGAGCAGGAAGGGTTGGGGGGCCTGTGGCAGAGCTCCCCATGCAGTGGGGGGCAGCAGGGGTCACCCCCCCCCTCCCAGCAGCACCCGGTGAGTCCGGGCTTTTTTCTAAAGTACCCGGAGTTGCGCAGGGCAAGGCAGCCATAGGGGGGGCGAGCTGGGGAAGTGGGCAGGGGATGGGGCCTGGCAGGGATTCCTCCATGGTCCCCTCCCCCACCCCCTATTTACCAGCTCCAAGTCCTGCTCCGGCTCCCTGCTGCAGTGGATGGGGATTGCCCAAATCATAGAAGCTCACTGAATCTTTTCCAAAGATTCAGAGAGCTTCAAATTGATTCAGGCCTTTTTATTGGTCACTTGATTCCATTCAGATTTGGAGATTCTGCCATTGGATCAGGCTGAATCTCCTCTGAATCGAATCAGCGCCCATAACTTCGCACAGCCCTATTAAACACGTATGTAAGCACTTTGCTAAGAAGAGGTTATTTTAAGCATGTGCTTAAATGCTTTGCTAACAGGACAAGACAAATAATGCAATATCTTGGAGTGGGTATTAAGGATCATTACATGTCCTTAAAATCCAAAAGAGTTATGAATTGGCCAGACTATCACCGTCCTGCAAGACTATTTGTAGTGGTAGCAGCAGCAGCAGCGATAAGTTATATTTTGGGGCCCACACAGGAGGTTTCTAGGTAAGCAGATAATACATAATGTTGAATAAGGGACAAAAGGTCCTTTTGGTGCTGGCAGGCTGATTCTTATCTGTATTCTTTAAGTTCTGCAAAGCCTTCTGTGTTGATCTGCTTATACTGGCTTATATACAATGGCCAGCACTAGTTGTGTCAGAGGAAAGTATAAGAACTCTGCAGTAAGCAGATGTCAAATAATCTACCTCAGTGTTAAACCTTCTCTATTATAAATTTTTCTATTACTTTGACAGGTTTACACCTTGAACCATTTCATTCAATATTTCTTTTGAATTTTTGTAATCAAGTCTTATAATTCCCAATATTCTTCTGATCCACATAAATGTCTATACCCTTTTGAATATTGCTATATTCTTGAACTCAACTTCCCATGACAGTGCATTCTACAGGCTACCTGTGCATCATGAAATAAAAGGTATTTCCTTTGAATTTATCGTCTTTTACTTTCATGGATGTCCCCTTGTTCTTATATTTCTATTTATTCTCCTAGAGCCCAATACTGAAAAGCACAAAAGAATGTGTATAATTTTCCCCATGTAAATAGTTTCATTGACTATCCTGTGACATAAATAGCTCCACTGAGTATCCTCTGAAATAAATAAGAGATATATGACATAAATAAAAGTTATAGGTGCATTATGTAACTGAACAAAAAGCAGGCTGAAGGTTCAGTTAGGCTACTTGAGGAGCGTATGTAATGTTGCAAACAATCAGTATGCATATACTGTATGTAAGCTCACAGGTACATCGTGACTTGGTAAATTTATAAAATGGATTCATGACATGGTTGCCTGCACTAATAGGGGTGAAGACAGCAAATGACCCAGGGGGCCCCTTGCAGTCCTAGGTTTCTATTATTAGCTAGTGACAGGTATGATATCCTTGACAGCAACATGGTGGTTCGGTATGTTAATATGATAAACAAAGAACAGAAATAATGTACTTTATCTTTGCCAGAGGCATTTTGGAATGGAGTGCAATTCTTTGTGCAGTCTATACACATCTATCAACTTACCCTTTGGTATTTTGCTCCTGGTAATGCTGATGATCCTTTGTCTTGAAGAGACTGAAGTTGGAGTCTGATAAGAGGATCCATAGTCTCATTTATTGTGTACCTACTGGCATTGTTAGATGCTTTATTGTAAAACTCAGACCATCTGGCATCTGCTTCATTCTAAAACAGATTCATTTAAATATGTTACTCACTTGTAAGAAATCTGGCAAGACAATATTTCTACTCACTCCCCCAACCTCTGCCTCAGGCATGCACCAGACCTAGAAGCTCTGGACACGTCTCTGCATTTTCTTTCAAGCCCTCAGTCTCCAAGGTGCTTGACTATAGCTTCTGGGGATGAGCCCAGAGATGTTCTACTGATGCACTACTGTGTTTGGGGTATGTCTGTGGGCATGGGTGATTAGAGCATAGGCAAGGCATGCTTGGTTCCCTCAGTGTCAGTGCAGAGCAGGGCCAGGAAGGAAGCTGCCCCCTCTCTGCCCTGCCATGTTGGGTCTCACCCACTGGGCCACAGAGGCCCCACAGGGAGGGCAACAGAGTGAGGAGCCAGAGCCCACAGCAGGCAGCCCACCCCACCATGGGCTCCACTCTTGCTGTGCTGCCTGCGAGGGAAGGGGACCTGGGTGCCATGCTTTGCATCCTGCTCCACCACAGCTGCTCCTGCCTCCTGCAGGTGGCAGCTGAGGCTCTGCTGCTGGGGGCAAGAGACTACGGACCTGAGTCCTTGTTTCCGTAGCCCTAGCAGCTGAGGGAACCCTCTAGCAGAGCTAGGGGGGAGGGGCAGGGGGCTGTGGGTGGGCATCAAGGGTCACCAGCAGGGTCAGGGGCTGTGGTTGGGGAGTGAGGGGCACCCGCGGGGCTGTTGGGCTGTGGCTTGGGAGTGGGGGCCTGGACTTGAGTTCTGTTGAGCAAAGGGGGCAGGGGGAGCTCTGATTTTCCATGATAAGAAACCCAAAGCCAAATACCAAAATTTATAGGTATTTAGAATTTATTTCATTATAGTGACTGATGCACTGGTAGACTTCCAAATTGCTTTAAAATTGTAAATATATCAATAAAGCACTGTGTTCAACTGATACCTATATATATAGAGTGGTGTTTCATTTTAATCACTGATTTGGGGGCTTTTATCAGAGAATTTGCAATTTTTATCAGAGAAAACCAGGATCCCTGGTTATCAGAATACTCCATACACTAGAGAAAAGCATCTGAGTACTGTGGTGACTGGTCTCATTTCTGAAACCACAGTGCGTTCTTTATTATCATGCTGCTTCTGATGAGAGCTGCTAGATGGAGTCTGACTTTATGCATTTGGAAATGTTATAATATTTTCCTTAGGTGAGGGTGCCTGGGAACAACTTTACAGAAAGACAAAGATTAGCCATTTGCATTTCACCTGACAATCGACATGCACACTTTAAATAAGAAAGGTATCCATGTTTTAATTAAGCTGGAAACTTCCACAGGGTGCAGTGATTCTGGCTTGTAGTTTTTGAAACTATTAAGCTTACACTACATTCTCATTGTACTAAAATGTGTTTATTTTTAATCTGTAACCTTGGATAAAAAGAAAAACAGCCACAAAAATCACAGTATTTTCTGTTAGGTTTTCAAGTCTCTAAGGTTACAGGAAGTTTTTCAATTCAGCTGCAGCCGTGAAGAATCGTTTAATAAATCAGCCTATAATTGATAGCTGTTACAAAATGCAATGACTGCCTAGAACCAAGCGATTGTACTGTATAGCTACAAGTTGAAAGCTAAAATGAATTTTATAGTTAAAATAACACAGCCATAACTGTTAGCATCATTCTTGTGGACATATACCACTGACTTCCCGTCATGATGCTATGATTTGGGAGTCTAGAAATTTGCATCGATACTTAATTTTTCTCAGAGAACAATTCTTCTCACTAGTCCACTGTTGATATCTAGGAGTGGAAACAGACATTGCCTTTCTTCGTGTTTGTTCCACCATAAAAATGTTTATGGCAGTACAAAGGTCCGAAATCTAGGCATTCACAGTTCCTATCTAATCCTGGAGGCATCTAAGTTCTCTAAACTCAGTTTCCACCAATGAAGTCTGGTAGGTGTCTAAATTTCTACCACTTGGCATTCACAGAGTTACTGGAGTCTTGACAGTACTGAGCAGCTTGGCACCTCTTTCAAACCTAAGCCCAGACAGAGTTTACAAAATTTCTTCTAAAAAGACAAGTATGCTCAGGAACAGTGACTGGAAATTGACTCTTGCACCTCCCAAGCTAATGCCCAAGCTACTTTTTACAGTGTCAGATGATAACTTGGGTACAATAAATGTTTAATTATGCCATGCAAGGCTGAATAGATTAAATAGGAGAAACTGAATGTGTCCCAAGCCAGAAAACCCTGTAAACTTAATTGGGGTTAAGCATTCTCAGGGGAGGTGAGACATCTGTCAGTCAGAGGTGAGATTTGAACCCCAGGTTTCCACATTTCTGGTGAGTGCTGGAATCTCTTGGGGCAAAAGGGAGAGTGGTACCCTTTCTGGCTGTGTTGATGGTTGTGTTTGTACAAGAAAAACATTAGGGATAGGGACAGAAGTTATACATAAATTGGTTGAAGTAATCAGAAATTGGTTTAAACCTGTAGCAGAACAGAAGTCTAGTGCACATAAATCAGTTTCAGAATAGCTGAAATTGGTTTAAGATAAACCTGGTTGAATGTAGTATCAGACTTAACTGATTTGGGTTAAACCGGTTTATGAATCTGCTGTCCCAGATCCATTCTTGGTTCAAGTGAAATCACAGTCCCTCAGCATCCCAGCATGTTCTCCAGCCCTGGGCTGGGCTGTTGTGTCTGTCTGCTCCGGCAGAGAAGGGTTCGGGGGAAGATGGGGAGAGGCAGAGACTGTGCCACAGTCAGGGTTTGCTTTGGGGGGGGGGGGCAGGGAAGGGGGTTAAATTTCCCTTCTGCCCTGTCCTGCTAAAAACATACTGCTGGCTGCAACTGTGAATTACAAATCCCAGAGGCACCTGGAAGCAGGAACAGGAAGCGATGAGCAAACTTGCAGAGTCCTGCTTTTGTGATTGTGGACTGCAAATCACAGAGAACTTGGGGGCAGCAGGAAGAGAAAGTGAATGCACAGCCCATGCTGGCTACATGCCAGAGAGCTGTGCTCTAGTGCCCCCTGGCTTCTGGCCTGAGCCACTGCAGGCATGTGGCTGCATTTCTTGAATCAAAGGTAAATGTCTGTCCAGTTGTTTCTCAGTGTAATCTCTACACCTTCAACTAACCTGCAAAGACTGAATCGATTAAGCCTCAGACTTTTTGACTGTCTGTACTTAGCCTAGAAGGTGTAGGGACTGAACACGAAACATGCTTCCAGGGAGTGGATACAGCTAGTCTCAGTTGAACCCAGACTCGGGTAGGGCAGGGACACTGAGCAGGCACTGCATGGCCACCCAAACTGGAAAGGGGAAGGGTCCAGGCACCTACAGGTTTTATAAGGACTACAGGTTTCCCTGCAATAGAACCCAGGGCAAGCACTGCCAAAGGGTGCCTCTTGGCAATTCCCTTCAATAGGGACAGAGGCAGGGACTGCAGGGGTTATTGCATTGCTGGTTATAATTTTTTTAACTGAATAATGCACTATAGTCAGGGAAGGAGAGGATGAGTGGGTGCAATGGGACAGCCATGGCCCCGCTATGACAGAGGGAAGCAAGGACTTGGAAGGGACATTAAGGTGGGGTGGAAGGACACTCCCTTGGATGTGAGACAGGGGGGTAAGTGGAGATGGGAGGGAATATGGGAAGAAAAAGGAAGGAATGTGTTATTGTTTTTTTACAGAGGTAGTAAATGAGAGCTGGAAACCAAGTCTGGGCCAGGCCAGGTAAGACTCCCTCCTAGGTTAGGAGTATGATAGCACAAGGGGGTGGGATACGGTGGGTGGCTCTTGAGTTTGGAGAGAGTTTATTTTGCGATAATTTCTTATTTTAATTATTTTATTCTCTTTTACAAATTATTTTGTCTTTTACTGTAAGCTTCCCTCAGACTTCTTGGGAAGGACAGCATATACAGCTAATAAACAAATAAATGCATGCCAACATCACTTTAATTTATCTGAATCCAATATAAAGTTGCCCCATGAAAAAGAAGCAGTAAAAATACACCATGGTACATCGCCTGGGGGTGGATGTTGTGTGTCTTCAGTTATTCTGGGGTAGCCAATTGCTCATGCAAATAGGCTATTGAGTTCTTGCCCACCAGCTAGTGGTAAGGAGTCTAATAACTCTTACTCTGGTGGCTTCTCCAAGATAATAGTCTCCTCCAGATGCAGCACATAGAATTTAGAAAAGTAAGATGAAGTACACCAGCACTGAAGTGTTGTGTAGACATGTAATTCCAGGAAAGGGTCTTGGCTGTAACTTCTGAGTAGAACCACACTGTCACCCAGATCTAGGCTCTTAAGTCTCTGTGATGGACAAGTGACACCCTACTCAGACTGGCTGGTTTAAGTTTCTTAGAGTGCCTGCTTTCACAAATCCCATTCCTAGGTGCCAACTTTTTCTGATGCGTTGTGTGGCAGAGACATCACTGACCATTACTGTGCCCTGGGCTCCTACAGATGGAAGTGTGGTGTGGCGGGATAGTGGTGTTCCTTTGGTACTCCTTTTTTGGCTGCAATAGCGAATCTTCATCTCCATCTTCAACAATGCGTACTACCACTGAAGGGGAGGTGCAGGATATGGGGGATGGGTGGGAGGGTGAGGCCCCCACAGACTCTCTTCTGGTGTCACCTCTCCTGGCAGCCCTGGATATCCCCTGATCATATGCTGTTGCGGGGTGGCTAGCTTGGCACTGCACATTCCAATAGATGGCAGGATGCCTAACGGTTAAGTATTGTTACCTTAAACCTAAATGCTCTTTGTGAATCTACCACACAGTAACCACCGACCTAGAATCCAGAATTGAACCAATCTTTAGAAAGGCACAGTTCTTCTCCTATTAACAATTCTGATTTATGTACAGTAATAAACTAAACTATAAATATATCTATTTAGTTCCTGAAATACTAGTGATATTCACAGACAGTCCTGAGTACTTACCATTTTCTTGGCATTCTCTTCTGTAATATTGGTGTTGTAGGCCCACGAGGCAAGTGAACTTTCATAATACAGGCCTTCTGCATCCTGATTGAATTGATTCAAAAAGGTTGTCACATTCTGTGGCATAGCAACTGCAAACAGACCACAAAAAAGGCAAATGTAGACCAACATAGTTCCTCCTGAGCCAAGAATCTCCAACTGGTTACCTGAAGCAACTGTCTTAATTGACTTCTATCCCATCCACCTTTATGCATAGATTTGCACCACTTAAAAGGGCAGAATCCAATTTGCTGGACTTTTTTATAGTTTTCGGCTGGGTGAGGACAGAAAAGAAAAAAAATAAAAACTCAAATAAACAAAAGTCAATGATTAACTTTGAAGAAACATAATTACTAGTAGCATTTTATGACCTTCTTATAAAAGGCTTTTACTTTTAGTTAATATTTCCCCAGTGTGCTGTCAGTGATATAGCTGATCATTATCTATAGACTAACAGGGTCCGTGAAAACCCAAAACATATGAATCCTTTAACAGACTGACAGCAATCTATGGAAACATTCAGAAAATTAGAGGGATGAATTTCACTACGTGTTTTATTTCACTGGGAAACTCCACTGGCGAGATGCACCTTCTTGGTCTGGTAAAAAGTAAAAATACTTTTTTTTAAATATTTAAGTGTAGCTGTTAATCCTTTCAAGTCAGAGCTTCAATGACTTTGCAGCTCAGGTCCCATTTTCAAAAGTGATTTAGGCACTTGGGATGAGATTTGCAGAGGTATTTCAATACCTAATGCTGCAGAGAAGCATGTGGTGGGCTTTCAAAAACATCATAGAAGGTTAGGCACCTAATTTTTAATAAATTTAATAGGAATTGAGAACTTCACCTGCTTAGATGTTTTATAAATTTCATTTGGCATCTTTAGAGACCTAAATATCTTTGAAAATCTGGTTCTTAGGAGCCTAATTATTCTTGAAAATACATTGGACAGAGGCTAATAATTGCATGACTCTCTTTTGAATATGAGACATAGACTCCTTAGTTATTTAGGCCTTGCTCCCTTGTTTGGAACAATGACTATATTCTGTCATGCCTGGTTGTGGGTGGCCAGGTCTAGGAGTCACCCAGGGTATAGAAAAGCAACCAAAATCAGATATAGTGTGCAGAGACTGAGTGTAGGGAAGCCAGTAAGCCAGAAGCCAGGAGATCCATCTGAGGATCTAAGTAAGAGATCCACAGGGTTGGGCAGTGTATAGAATCAAAGGCCAGCAGGGTCACATATCCAAAAGATTGAATCAGGAGTCAGATTAAGGAGATGAAGGGCCAGGCTAAACTCAAACTCCATTGGTGAGCTGGGTTGGGTAATCAGAGAATCCATTAGAGACCCAAAGCTATTCCTTAAGCTCTTTTAAACTGAAAAGTCTCTTTGAGGCCCTGATCCCATAATGATATCTCAGGTGTTGCATCCCTGAGCTCAGCAGGTCCCCACAGAAATCAATAGCAGCCAGTTTACAATGGTGCAAGTTAAAGGTTGGGATTTGGGATGGTAAGCTATTGGGGCTGGAGCCTGAACTTTCTATTTTAGAAATGCTTAACACATAGTGGGCAGTCCAGCCAAACAAGTAATAATAGAAATCATAGACATATAAGACACTTTTTCATGTACTCCAGAGGTGGGGGATGTTTAAATAGAGTGGCTCTAAGAGCCACTCTAATTCAGGAACCACAGCAACTCATGTACCAGCATTCCTGTGCTTCAAAATGGTGGCATGGGCACCTGAACTAAAGCTTGTTCAATGAACTTTAGTTCAAGCTCCACCACCACCACTTTGAAGTATGGAGACACTGATACACGAGACAAGGAAGCTGGCTGAAGCACGGTAATTACCAAACACTGGTAATTACAGTGCGTTGGAGCAGCTTCACAGCACATCTACAGGCACCCATTGGGCTGGCAGGAACCTAAAGAAATCATTCTAGTCAATCGTCCTGATCTGGAGCAGGATAACTACATTTAGCTCATCCATCCTTAAAGGAAGTTGTTCCACTATGTTGTTCTAACCCAGTGCTGTCAAATATCCAGCCCACTGACCCAGGTCATCCAGCCCATGGACTTTTGCCTTGGCTCTGGCTTCAGTGATAGGTCTTCCTGCAGTAGTAGCCAGCACCCTGAGAAGAACAACACTGAACAACACCAAGGGAAGAAGCCCTGGTGCCATGGACAGAGCCAGGGCAAAAGACCTGGCTCCGAGGGCTCTGTCTACAGTGCAAGATCTTCTGACTGTGTTGCTGGAGCTCCCTGTACTCCTGCCAGTCACTGGAGTGCTGGCTACCATCCTAGGAAGCCCTACCACCTCTTCAGATTCCTGCTTCTAGCTATAGTGGGATTTGCCCACAGTGCTGCTGGAGCTGCTAGTGCCGTGGTACTGGCCCAGGATGCTGCTGTGAGAATCTGCAGTGCCGTTTGGGCTGCTAGTGCCAGGCTATCACTGGAGCACTAGCTGCCCCTATGGGAAACCCCACCACAATGACCAGAACCCTGGTTCTATCCACAATGGTGGAGCCTCTGACCACAATGCTGTTGGGGCATTGGCTGCTACCAAAAGCCCAGCCACTTTGACCAGAGCCATGGCTCTGCTCATGGTAGCAGAGTTTCTGCCTGTAGTGCTGCTCAAGTTGTTAGCACCCCAGATCTCACTGGGGTGCTGCCTCGGTATACTGTAATATATTCATATTTATGGGGAGGAGTAGGAGGGTGTTCACAAGTAACTGCCCATACATGGGAACAGGAAAAAATATACACTTAAAAGCTGGGGACACAAACACTATGGAAAATAAAAATAATTCCCAGACACAGTTACTAGAGTACCGTTCACTGTTTGGACAAAGGTCCCTAGGACAGGGCCATGAAACTCACTCCATGCCCTGAGCTAGAAGCAGACCCAGAGCTAGTGGCTAGAGTGGGGCCAGGGGTGATGGAAGAAGTGGTGGCTGAGTAGCAGTGGCAGAGGTGGTGGAGAAGTAGCTGTTTGCTGTGGCAGAGGAAACACAAGCAGTGGTGGCAGCAGGGAAAGCAGCTACCGGGCAAGTAGGGCTGTGTCAGCACAGCTCTCACTCACCCGCTGCTGCCAACAGGTATGTCCAAAAAGGCTGGAGGTCTGGGATTCTGTGGCAGGCCATACTCCCTACCAGCCCCACTTCCAAATTCCCTGGCACACCAGTAGCCCTCTGTGGAGAAGAGTTGTTACAGTATCTAAAGCAGGGGTAAGCAACATTTTTGGCTAGGGTGCTGAAAAAACCTCAATGTCTACCTTGTAAGGTCCCGGAGTGCTGGCATGCCAGAAAAACAAAACTGGTGCAGGGGATACATGACAGGACACACTGAATATTAATATAGTTAATCATCATAAATGTTGCTTTTTAACAGTAACTACCATGTTTTCTAAATATTCTAAAATTGGTGACAATAAATAAAACTTCATATACTACTTTTGTTCTTGTGTAGTCTTTTTTGTTAAGCATATTGTGATCAGAGAGCAAATAAAGAAGAGAAAGAGAGAAAGAAGAGAAAAAGAGGAGAGAGAGAGAAAGAGAGGGGGAAAGAGAAAGAAGAAAGAGAAAAAGGAGAGAAGAGAGAAAAGGAAAGAAAGAAAAGAAAGAGGTAAAGAAAAAAGAAGAAAGAAAAGGGGGAGAGAAAAAGAATAGAAAGAGTAAAAGAGAAAAAGAATAGAAAAAGAGAGAAAAAAGAGGAAAAATAGGAAAGAAGAGAGGAAAAAAGGGAGAAAACAAGAAAGAAAAAAGAAAAAGAGGGAAAGAAAAGAGAAAAAGAGAAGAAAGAGAAAGAAAAAGGGAGAAGAAAAAGAAAAGAAAAGAAAAAAGAGAGGGAGAGAAAGACAAAGAAGAGAGAAAAAAGGAAAAAGAGAAAGAAGGTGTGTCCCTCCTTGCCAGCATCTCCCACTGCTACCAGCTGTGGCTTGGGCCCGCTGGATCAGGGCAGCGTCTGGTGGAGGGAGGCAGCAACACCCCACCAGCAGCCATCAGGGCCAGGGCACTCAGGCCTCCCTGACAGTCCTGGAGCAGGAGAAGCCTGGGCCAAGGGCTGGGAAAAAGGGCTCAGCTGGGGCTCAGGCAGATGGACACCCCATGCCACTGGGGCAAGGACAGCATCAGGGTGCCAAGTGCTGGGGCTGGGTGCTCGAGGCACGGCCGGGTGGCATGGGAAGAAGCAAGTGTTGGGGGAGGTGCCACAGGCAGGCCAGCCTGCCTGGGCCCTTAAGAAGGTGGGGACCAGGTGATAAGAGGGGCTGCTCCAGGGCTCCATGGGCTTGGACCATGGTGGGCGGGTGGTCAGGGGTGTCCAGCAACATCCAAGGTGGGCCCCGGCCTGTACAGCTCAGCAAGGATGGGGCACAGCCACCCTGCCCATGGGGTGACACCACCAGGCTAGGGCAGGACTCTGGGTTCAGGAGGCTCCCAGCTCAGCCTCCATGCATGCTGGGCACAGTGTGAGTGGGGCAAAGCCACCCCCGGTGCAAGGCCCCAGCCCCCCAGGAACAGCCACTGTGGCTGGCCTGGCATGCCCGGGCCCTGGCCTTGCCCCTTCACAGCTCCCCTCCAGGGGCTGGGGTCAGGGCAGGAACTACCCTGTAGACTCCCAGCTGGCTTGGCCCTGAGCACCATCTGTGGCAGCTGTTCCTGGGGCCCAGGGGACTTCTGTAGCCAGGCCCTTGCAATGGGGGTGGCTCTGCCCCACTTGTACTGTGCCCAGCATGCAGGGTGCCTGAGCCCAGATCCAGGAGCCCTCCAAGCCCAGCATCCAACCCCAGACAGGCAGCATCCCCTCACGGGGGGATGCACCTCATGCCTGCAGAGCTGTGTGGGCCACTGGGCACCCCCACCCACTGGCCCTGCCCGCCTGTTTCAGCTGAGTTATAATGTTATCTGGCACATAACTTTTTTGAGAAAAGCAAAATTGGAGCAGTTGGCATTGGATTTAGGACCCAGCCTTTGTTTTAGGCTAGCACAACCCTCAGACCGACCACAGCCTTCCCATTCAATAATAGGCAAATGTACTGATACACAGTGATAACAAAAAAGAAGCAACAATGCAAGCAATCAAGGAATTTTATGTCTACCAATCCTAGGGCTGTCATCTGAGTCAAAGTACATCTGGTCAGGATGCAGACTTCACTCTGAGGCTGTTTCTTAGGTGTCAGATGTCAGCATGGCATGTCAGCATTCTGGAGGTGGGATGCCAAGGCCCACAGACCCCTTCCAGT